ATTTCTCAATATGAAATATATATGTATTTCTTTATTCATATCCTGGATTCTACTATTTTATGTGATTGTGTTTATCATCATCAATTGTTGTTAAATCACGAATTATTAGTAGAAAAGCAGCAACACATCGTGCTTGAGAATGAATGATCTTGTTATAAAAATCAGGAAGACACATATGTGATGCATTGCTAAACATGCTTTAACAGAAACTTATGCTATTCATGGAAATACAATTAGAACAAAATTATTAATGCTTTTTGGAACGAATTATTTAACGAACACAAAAAAAACAAGAACTCAACGTAGCTATTGTTCATTTTTCATTATTATCAATATCATAAAATTCAATTTTAAGCTTTACGTCTTTACTAAAAATCAAATAAAGATCTTGTGACAAATGATTCTAATTTTTTAGCTATCACTTAAGATTGAACATATAAATACCATCTCAAGACATCTGATCATCCTCAACAACACACAATATAGGTACTTTTATGAATATCAAACGAACACCGATAATAAATACAATTTTATAAATATATGCTAATTTTATTAATGGAAATGACAAAAATTACTATTTTTTCTTCAAAAAAATATAATATTTTTATTCATTTTTGCTTCGTAGATACATGCTAAGATAGTAGGGTTGATTCACTTATGCCCTTTGTTAATAATAGATAGGCATGTATAGGATTAATATAAACTGATCTTAATTGTACTTGAGCTAGCTATTCAGGATTATACATGTGAATTCCTGCTTTTATATCTTATATTTAATATGTAATTAATTTTATAAAACTAACAGCATCAGATAACTACGTATGACATTGATTGGATTTGTAAGAACACATCCATTGATTTTAACTTTCTCAAGCCATGAAAAATTTTCATTCAAATATCCAAGAATAAGATAAAAACATCTCTTTTGATTTTAAAGTCATGAATTAGGATGATCGCACAAAAATATATTTCTTTTCTTTCTCAACTGATCGAATACAAATCAACGTCAACCGCTAATCAATGAAGTCATAGTTGGCTATATAAACAAGGATAAACGAAACAAGAATCAATGTTTCAATTACACGACTACTATCAGCAAAGAAGTTCATACACAAATGATGCCATCAAATCAATTATTATATACTTATTTAGAATGTCTAATATGAATCGTTTCTTATTCGACTGAAGTTTATCAAAGACTGAAGATCATTTAGTATGTTCATTGTGACGATAAAAATGATGGAAGGGAAGATAGTGTGGATGGAGTTACACTTTATTTCATTCCTTCATATCATACAATCGTATCGTTTATATATAAAGCACACGCTTATATACACGAGTAGAATAAGAGATGATGAAGAGAAAGGAGATGGGGCCAAGGAGAGAGCAGGTATAGAAGAGCAATAGAGACAGGACAGCAGCGTAAGAATAGACAGATGAGGACAATATATAGCATCGACGAGTGATTGATGATACAAAATGAGAAGCACATTACGATAGAAAGAGAATGAGGCTCAATCATGCATAGATAAACGTGAGAGTAACGCGATTATGAACACTATGTAACACCGATTGTATAGCAACATACTGAAAAAGAAAAGATATCACATAAAATGATATGCCCATTGGCACATTCATCTTTTTATTATGTACCTGTCGAACCAAAAATATATTCCATTTGGTTATTGATATTGTTTCTCTTGTCTTGAAAAAAACCAAAAAGTACATTTTTCTCAATTGAATTTTTTCTTTTTTGAAATAGTCTTTTTTTCTCTGTTCAAAACTAAACAATCAACTATATATGTTATAAAATGATTGTGATCAAATAATTATGAACGACGAAGTGAATTAAAAAAATTTACAAACAAGCAAAACTGATTTATAAATTATTCTTTCGTTTCGATTTATTCAGAATTCGATAATATATATGATTCAGTACGTTTGAAAAATATTGCTTGTTATAATCAATCATATGGATATTGATACATAGGAAATTATCTAACATATACAGTAAATGTTCTAGAATAATTTGAATTATTTAACACCGTTTACTGATCGACTTTTGTATAAACAACATCGTTGAATTTGTTGAAAGGCTTTTGTTTCATATTCAGTTCAAAAACTTTGACTGTGATGTTAAGGTATAAAGTTTTGTTAAATCTTAATATAAATAAAAATTCATTGAATTAGGTGGTCATAAGATTTTAACGGACAAGCTTTTTTATTTTTTTGCATGAACAACAATAGTAATAGGGTTTAGATTGAATTCCACATATGATTTACTTCCACTAAAAATCTACTTAAATGAATGTGTGAATAGAAAATGTCATTCGGCAATCGATTTTAACTATCTAAAGATAAGTCAATATTATGAAAAAGTTTTATGTATGCATTTAATGAAGCATAGTACTTAACGTTTTTTAATGTATTTTAAAAGAAAGATAAAGGTCTTTTTTTTTCAATCATGATCTTTCACTAAGATGTGATATTCATAAAAATATCTATACTCAGAAGTAAAGTTTAGAAAAAATTTTGTTCATTCGTTCATGAAAAATGTCATATGCTGAATAATATTTATTGTTTAACGGTAACAAGAGGTAGTTAATAAAACTTGAATCGCTCTTACTCTCAAGTGTTTGATTTGAATACTATATATCTAATGATGACCGTAAAAAAATACATCATATTTTCTAAACTTCACATTAGTTTGATCAGTTAACGTCGAGGATCATCTCAGATAAACAAGAACTGATTTCAACGTGCTAAAATATGAGCCTTTTAGGCTAGAAAAATGGTAATAAAACAAGGATTTCTTTTTAAATTTAATACCATAAAAAGGTGTTTGGTTATTAATTTTATCTGACTGAGCTGCTTGGGTAGAAAGTTCATAAGTTTAACCAGTTTAAGTTATGTTTTATCTTTTTTTATATGTATCGAACGGTTTCAAGGAAGTGTGTTCTACATAAGAAACATTGCTTTATCTTTCTAACAAAAAATGTAAAGACCAAAAAAAAGGTTTCATATCTGAAATGATACATCCAATCTGAGTTTACAAACAAGAGAATATTTTTTAGAAAAGTAAGTAGAAGTGTTGATTTTCTTGAGCAAACTCAAAGTAAATAGAACAGCTCAAACATTTTTTCTCATTGCTCACATGCAAAAGTCATAAGAGATAGGGAATGTTAATGCAATCATCTTTCGAATAACATAGGTAACTGGATAGTATGATTTCAACTTAATTGTCTAAGTTTTTGTAGCTATTTTGAAATGGTATTATATTCCAGGTCGAGAAGTACTGGTGGGTTCCTGCAGAAAAACACCGGAAGTCGTCGGAACAAAGTGACAGTATTCCGGTCGGAAAATTTTCGGATTTTTTCCGACCGGAGTACTGTCACCCTGCTCCAGTGACTTCCGGTGTTTTCCCTCAGGATATGGTGAATTTTCCTGCATTTTTCCTGCAAGATCCTGCGGAATCCGGTGATCAGAATCTTCAACCTGGAATGATGTGAGTATACTCATAGATCGAGTTGCTTCTAAAAAATAAATTGAGTCGCAAATGGTTATGCAGTAAACAGCTATTTCCTTTATACTAAAGACAAATTGTCACAGTACCTAAGAAAAAAAAAAGATGAAAAAGAAGGAAATAAAAACGCTTTTTTTCCTTGAGAACGCTTTTTTTTTCCAAAATAACTGCGTTTCTCTCTGCTAGGAAATTGTTTAGAAAAAAATCTTCGTTAGACAACAACGACACGTTTAAAAAAGATGCTAAAAATATTTTCGGAACGTCTCGCATTCATGGCCGTTCTTTTTTGTAAATCTTTTCATCAGCAGTTTTTATTACGCTATTTCTAACTTTCTAATTTGCAAGTAGAAAGACCATTAAAAGTTGTTCATGCAATGAATATTTCGGACTGATTTGATACCGTAATGAAGAGATATGCATATGTGACTTTTCACATATTTTGGCATTTCAAGCACCTCCTATGGCAAAAAGTTCATAAAAAGTACGTCCATGAACGTGTTCTTAAAATGCAACATATCCTGGAAACGCTTTTAGTGTTCTGGTGGATTGTGTTTTTCTTGCCTAAAGATGACTCTTTTTCTGAGTGCATTCCTGGCAGAGAAAAACGCAGTTTTTTTTGGGAGAAAAAAAACATTTTCTCCAAGGAAAAAAGTTTCGAAAGAACTCTAAAAGCGTCGTACCAACGCGTTTTTATCCGTTCTTTTTCAGCTTTTTTCCATGAATATTGTATCTAAATGTTTACCATATGTTAAATTTCTTATAGCCATAGTACTTTCTAGGTACATCAGGAAGTTCTTGATGCTCATATGCTAATATCACCAGTTAAACATTCACAATTACGTGATGATTTCATTTCGTTTTTTGAAAATCAATCATCAACAAGTTGCCTACAATCATTATCTACATCTTCTCTTACAATATTCATAGCAGAAAATTCATATATTAAATTGCTAGAAAATGAAATTGTTAAACTAACTCAGATAATTGAAGAATTACATTTACAAAATAAACTTCTTTATTCTATGACTATAAAATTTGAACAAGCGCGAGGACATTTACGTGAAAAAGTTAATGTAGAATTATCTAGAGATGGATTATACCATTTATGAAAACAAATATGTATTATCAAGCTTATTTAATCCTGATAATAAAAAATATTCATAGTATTTTGCTAACCTTCAACAATTCTATCAAAATCTAACACAAGCTCTTGTAACAGATATATGATGTCTTCCTTTTATATATCGAAATATGGATTTAAAATTATATTTAAGTTATATTTAAGTGGTGATCCAACCACACGAAATACTCGTTTACGTTTCGATATGACATAAGAAAAGTTAGCAACGGATTTGATTATTTTCTATTGATATTCGCTCCTGTATCTGTGTTGATCTTAAAGTTGGTGGTGCTGAGAGCAGAATTTAATTCTCTATCGAATGATGATATTTTCGAGTGGATTCATTTAGCAAAAATTATGATTCAAGTCCAAAAATCAGAATTATCGGGTCATTGTGCTGGTATTACTAGGTTTGGATGAGTGGCTAGAGGGTGTGGATGTGAATGTAGTTGTGATGAGAAAATAAATATAAGCGCATCCACACTCCACACCCACATTCTTCTTTTTTTGTGGAAAGATGTGCAGAAACTAAACGTTCATTTGTACACAAACAAAAATCACGTTGAAAATTTCAATTAACATTACAAACATCAACAAAAAAGGTGATTTTATGATTTTTTGGCGAGTTCATCAAGCTTGTTCAATAGTTTCTCTTCTGTTGGTTTCACTAAGCGGTCAGATTCATCGCCATTGCGGTAAAAAACAATTGTCGGCACTTGTTTAATATTAAATGCAACAGCAAGTTTATCATTAGCTGGTAATACAGGGCATTTAAAGAACTCAGTGCCGAACGACTCTTCATACTTGTAACGTAAGTGTTTGAGTCGATATTCGATAGAATCTCGTCGAACTTCACTGTACAAATTGTTTGTTAAAAATATACTCAATAATAATGACTAAACATATGACGCTTACTTCAAATTAAACAAAATCACGATGAGTTTATCTTTGTATTGTGCAACTCGTCCGTTAACTGCTTATATTGATTCAAGCAACGCCCAAGGTCGCTGCATTTTTTCATACTCTGTCATTATTGCCATGAAGCTTGTTCGGTAGATATGTCAATGGTAAAAAAAAATGATGACTGAAATGAAAGTTGTTGAAAGAAAAAAATAGAAGGTTGCCATCGGAGAGAAAAAAAAGATTTCATCGTGACAGACACTATTATGGTTACCAATGTTTATTCAAGTGAAGTATAGAAAAAAAAGAGAAGGAAAAAATACATTCAAAGCAGAAACTTGCACAATATTGATTACCTAATAAGACTTTCGATCAGTTTTTATTATTGTTTAACGAGTATCTCAATAAAAGTAGTTTTACTTCATATATGTTTTTGCTTTTGATATTACATTAATATAGATTTCTTTTTTTTTTGTAGATTATTCTCATAATGAGTAATAATCATTCAGAAAAAAAAACAGAGAATCCTTCTTGGATTGAACTTGTGCGTCAAGCAGTTAATGAGGAAAAATTGCTTGGCATCACGTGTCACGTGCATTCCAGGGCACAAGCCACTGGCGAATCCAAGAATTCACAGCGGTGTTTGTGTGGTCGTTTCAAACGGCAACATAGTTTCAATGGGGAAGCACAAATCGATCTATTCTCTACGAGCAAATATTGGGACAGAGTTGAGCATGCTACTGAAGCACCAGTGACTGTGTATGGAATATGGCAGAACAAGACAAAGGTACGTTGAAAAACTATAGAATCATACATTTTCTAATTACCTGTAAATCAGTTTATTAGATGGGATCACCAACGAGTCAAACCGCTTCCGGCTACAACAACTAGCGACAACCAAAAACCAAAGTATGCTTTTTATCTCACTGATATTGAGATTTCATAATAGAGTCAAAAGCAAGTCTACGATTTTTTCATTTTACTTTTCGAAAAATAAAAAAACAATCATAATTTTAAAAGAAAAAACAGAACTTCCACTATGATGGATTCAATACTTAATATAACTTTATCAGAAATTATAAACGATCATTTGCAAGTCTCAGTCGACATAGTGTATCGATTTTTCACAATATTGTTTATCTTTCTGTAAATAAGAAACTAAGTGATTCTACCATTTTTTTATAGCCATGTGCAACATTTCGACTTGGGTGTAAACAGAAATATAAAAAACATACCAAGCTAAGTTTTTCTTTTTTTTGACGCTGAGCTAAGCAATCGTGCTATAGATGGACAGAATTATTTTCTGTATAAATAGAAACATGATGTTTATTGTTAAGAGATTCTGCTGAATACTAACCATTTTGAAACTTTAAGAAAAAAGATTTTAGTGCAATGACGTCGAAAGTGAAAAGTAAAACGCGATGAACATACTGATCTTCATGCAGTTTACATTTATAACATGAGAACTGAGCCACAATGTCTTGAAGAGTGGGTGGGTGTGAGTGTACTTATTATCTATAATCATACATACATCCATACTAATTGAGAGTGAGACAAATATGTCTTCCAACTTTTCATAAGAACACACAAGGATAAATTCTTGTCACATTATTTGTAAGGGATAAGTAGATAATATGGAATCATTCTGATACTTGATCTGACCCTGTTTTATTTTTTGGCACATCCTCTACGTCACAGAGTTCTCGCCTCACACTTTCACGATGCTTCGATGGTTAAGTCCACTGTCATTCGAAAGAAGAATATCGAACGATAGATAAGTCGAGGAATACAACATTACAGCTAAAATATGAGAAACTAAGAATGTCAAAAATAGAAATATAAAAACGCAACATATATATCGGTAAAATGTCGAACGGATGTGTGGATGTGAGTTTGGATATAGGTGTTCTTCAATCTATCCACAGCCACACTGCATCCACATCTACACACATTTCATCGTCACACTTATATCCATACCTACGCCATACCCACAATCACACTAACACACAGGCTCTGAATACTACGTACTTTCAAACTTTAAAAGAAAATAATTATCGTGAATTTTTCTAATTCTTAACAAAAAAAGTTCCCTCATGAAAGAAGTTTTTTCGCTTAAGTTTGTGATATAAATGCAGCTAATTTTTATTTCTGCGACGGTGAAAGAAATTATGTTACTAGTAGACGTATCGTTTCTCAAATATAGCGTGGTAAAGATTCATCTAATTCTCGTTCTTTTACATCTAGAACAAGTCTTTCCACGATGGCTAAGATAATAATCGATGATGCGGGTGGTAAGAAACCTAATTTCCTCATCAGTTGTTATGGTGGAGCTAAATATTTCAAAATGAACGATAAATTGGAAAACGAATTCATGGATGGCATTGGTCAGGCAGCTGCTACAGAAGGTAAATCAATATTTTTGACTACTGTAGATTTTTCTTGATAATGTATTTCACTATTGCATAAATATCTCGAGAAGCCCAACCATTACTGAGCATGCCTTACCTCGTTTCGTATCTAATGCGATAGAGTATCGAATTAGATTTCACGCACAGCATCTGAAAAACATCAACAATCTCCACATTTTCCAATCATACTTTTATTCTAAACATGCTTTTTGTAACTGTAAGTCTCTACTATTAAAAAAAAACGCAAGAAGCTTATTATTCGACATAGTTACGCACTTCTTCACTATCACTGGCTAAATCATATGAGAATGTAGGGCCTCTGTATAGATGCTTTTTCTAATTTTATTTGTTTGCCTCTATGAGTTAGTTCCAGCTTAACAATATAGATACTGTTTGGTGGCATTCTATCTTTCAGTCAGTTCTTAGTAGATTGGAATTTTTGGTTTGTGCTAAAATAGTGAAATGTTTTGAAAATTGAATTAACTTGAATGAATGGCATGTGATTTGTGATTATTCTATCAGTAGAAAAGAGAATAAACATAATCATGCGTTGGTATGGCCAAAACTTAATTTTTTCAATCCAATTTGAGGTTGTAAAATAGATTGTTTCAAACTTAGAAGTCATAATGAATACCATGAAAATTTGCAAGTAACCTATATGAATTAAATGAGTTTGATTTTAACCTTGTTTATTCCCATCATAATTTAGCCTAAACACATGCGTTTGGTTATTAAGTAGAACTATGAAGCTGTAGTGTGTTTGTTGTTTCATACAATAAAAGTGTGGGTTACATATATCTAGAATTGTCGATCGAGTTTCGAAAGTCATTGAACCTATACAAATATAATTTCTCTGCTGTCAGAAAATAAAACTAACACAACGTTGATTAATGTTACTAACTTGCTACTAAATAAGAGAGCGTTAGATTTTTTATTCGTACACCAATATTAAATATTTTTACGTTTCAAGGAGTGTGGCTTTTGAGCACGGGTTTGAATAGTGGTGTGTCGAAAGTGATTGGTCAAAGCGTTGGACGCTATACTTTACTGAATGAAAAACCTCCGAATCATACTCTTATTGGGCTCAGTAGTTGGGGTTGTTTATCGGACAGAACGCAACAAATACTCAGAAAACAGGTATAGGTCGCTAGATAAATTGCATAGTTCAACTGATACTTTTTATTCTTTTATAGGCAAAATTAGACTCAAATGCAGATAGAGCGAGCCACGACAGTGTTCCTATAACTCTCGCACCTTTATTGACAAGATATCGAAGCGATGTCTATAGTGTTTCTGCATGGTCTACATTAGACGAAAACCAACCTGATACATTTGAGAGTAATCACACGCATTTGCTTCTGCTCGACGATGGCAGTCAGGGAAAGCGTAAGACAGAAACAACGACTGATCCGTTCTATATTGATGATGTACCTCGCTTGACATTGGTTGATGAATTAATCACATTAACTGGTTGTCATGCGGTGACGATCATTATTGAGGGAGGTTTAAATTCTTTGAGTGTCATTGAAAACGATCTTCTTGCTAAACGTCCAGTAGTGATTATTCACGGTAGTGGTCGTTTGGCTACTGCAATTGGTAATTTATTGGAGTTGACACGTGATCAAACTACTATTGGGTATAGAAATTAATAAGCATATATAGTAAAAATGTTTTTTCAATTCGAATTTTAGAACAAATGAAATTAAGCAACAATTGGAAAAAGTCATTGTATCACATCGTACAAAAGAACTCTCAGATGTACAGTTACAACAAATTCAATTTATTTTGATGTCCGAGAATCGACCGTATTTGAGTGTATTTCGGCTTGATGACAATGCAAGTCTCACTGATACTATTTTCTTAGCTGTTTTTAAAGGTTATTATTTCGAGAAAGTTGAGTTGAAATCTATAAATATTTCTTGATTTTTAGCTCAAATGCATCGTGAAAATAAAGAAACAACACATAATAACAAAGATCAACGCTCCGCTCGCGTTAAGAATATGCTGGATTTAGCTGTTTTGTGGAACTATGTTAATGGTATTAATGATGTGCTTGAAAACAAAGAGGTATCCACCATTTTACATTGTTTAGTCTTAATCAGTATGATTTTATCAATATATACAGACCATTAATTACGATCGAACATGGGACACAGATTTGTTTGAAAAAGCCTTGATGACCAATCGACCAGCATTTGTCGATTATTTTCTTCGAAGACAATATGATGTGCTCGAAACAAAGGAGTATATCGAGTTTATCGATCGCGGTGAACGTATTCCACAGATCTGTGCTGCACTTCGTGCTATGATTTTATCGTCACTACTGACTGACATGGATTCAGTAACGACTGAGATGAATAATAATGGAGATGAAATTTCAACTAGTGATGTAGCTGAAAATGAAGACGATACTGCAAATGTGCGTGCTGCATTTGGTCGCAAATTTGTCATTGAAAAGCTGTATGCAAATCGAATCGATCATCTTAAGGTAGTATTGTTTATTTGAGTCGTAGTGCATTCACATCGACTATCCCGATGAAGATAATCCACTTAAATTTGAGGCAATCAATGATACAGCTTTTTCAACAATTTACATTGACGTAGTTCTAACAAAAGGTAGATGAGTGGAGCATTATTCTATTTGATCTCTTTGCTGCAAAGAAAAAAATGAGGGTGCAGGTGTGGGTGAGGATGGATGTGAAGCGAAAAATCAATATCGATACTCACATCCACACCCACACTCCATACCCATACTCGACACAGGAAGGCACTACAGCCTGTGATGCATGTGCTTTCAAACAAATAAAACCAAAGATAAACTGGGAGTCGGAAGAGTGAAATTCGGTTTACTCATTGAGCAATTTTTTTTGCTTGTCTGGTGAATTTCTCTGTCAAACGTCACGGTATAGAGCTAAAGATTTTACCGTAATTGCTCCACCACAAGCCAAAGTTCTCTTCCAAATTTCAGGCCATTTCAATATATCTAGTGTGAAATCGACTGATGACGGGAGGAATACTTCGACTGAGTTACGGATTGATTTAAATGAAGTGATATCTCCTTGAGTACACGCCAATTGAAACCTTCTTGATTTCAGCTAGGCTATGTGAAACATGAAATCATTTGTTGAAATAAGCTGGAAGACTGAACATATATTTCCATATGTGTTTGTATCCTACAATGATTCTCGTTAAGAAAACTAATTTCTTGTACAAAAAAAAAACTAAAGCTTTCTGTTTGAAATACAGATATATATATATATCGATTTTTTCCGTTTTAGAATTCTGATCAAGTACGCTCACTCACTGATCTCGACAATCTATATTATCATCTGATTGGACCGTATGCCGAATCATTTTTTCACAGACGAAGAACAAAAGACCGTATTAAAAAAGATCTACATGACAAACTTTGGTTTTTTTGGGCATGTTTTCAACCTCGCATGAAAAACACAAAAGTATTCCCCAGCAAGCCAACAGAAAAACCAAGTCTGAGTCAAATACATCCAGAAGACTCATGTGTAACACACGCCGTCGTAGCAATTGCTGGAATAGATCCAATTCAAGAACAACTTGAACACTATGCCGCTGTTAAGACGTTTAGTAATCAGGAGATGTTGCGTGATATCTTTCTGTGGGCTGTCATTGCGGGACACGCCGAAATGGCTTTTGTATTATTGCTTCAGCTTAAATCTCGGATAGCTGTAGCTCTTGTGGCTGCTGGCATCACTCGTCAATTGATGTCCACTACACCTGAATATTTAGATCAATTACACAAGTTCCAAAAACAATCTAAAGACTATGAACAATTTGCTACAGCATGCATTGATGCTTGCTACCAACGAAGTGAAAGATACGCTTGTCAACTACTTTTACGAGAAATTCCATTCCTTGGAAATATAACTTGCATGCAAGTAAGTTCCTACTAATTTAGATCTCAGTTGTTAGTTTAAATAAAGATTTTAGGTAGCTATTTCGTTTCGTATCAAATCATTTATTAATAGTCGTTGCTTTAATCAAGTACTTAATCGACAATGGTATGGAGTATTAGATCAAATGATTGATAGATCCTTGCTGTCCCAGCTACTGTTTACAATAAGTCTTCTATCAATTGGCTTATTAGCTCCACTATTGCTTACCTATCGAAATGATGACATAGATAAGAATAAACAAGAAAAAGTAGATTATCAGTACTATAGATTTATTTTGATTCCGTTATTATTCTTTTAGTTTAATGTTTCCCATGAAGAGAGACGAACATCTTCTGAACACGGGTAAGATATTACTGATGAGTCAAGACTGATTTTTATCGAACTGAATATCTTAGATGGGAAGGTATTGAAGACCAAGACGGTACAAATATGAATTATTTTCAAAAATTGCGACAATTTCATCGAACTCCTCTTGTCAGAATATGCTATCATTTTGTGCGTCGTTTTTTTTTAATACACAAGATATTTTCATTTGGATTGTTACCATTTTTAGTTGATCTATATTTGGATGTTACTAGCCTTTAGTTACATGATGCTGTTTGAACTGAAATCTAAAAATACAGCTACACACTGGACAGAAATTTATGTGATTATCACCATTTCTGCAATGTTGATTGAAGATATCCGAAAAGTAAGTTGCTTGGATACATAAGAAAACAAATTATTGTTTAAAACAGCATTTGATCGAATATCATACACAAATGTTGGAACGATGGCACAAATCTGACGTCTCGATGATAGGTCTATATGCACTGCCTTACATTCTATTTTACATTGGCATTGGACTACATTTTGGTTCGAGAGCTCGATCGGACTTATTTACGGCCGCTAGGTATGTACATAAATAACTATTAGACGAATGAAATACAACTGAATCGACTTCTAGAATCGTGTTAGCAGTGAATCTCGAAATGTGGTTTCTTTTTTCATTGCGCTTCGTAAGTGCTATAAAACTTCTGGGACCAAAATTATTCATGATACGAAACATGGTAAGTGAAGAAATCAAAGTATTGACGAGCAACTTGAAAGTTTTTCAGAGGAATATTATTTTCAATACTCGCATATATTGAAGTTTGGTGCGTATTACGTTCCAATATACTACAGGACTACACTGTAAGATAGATTTACAGTACAATATATGCGGAAGAGACACAAATATATATATATATAGATATGTAAACGTATAAAATCTCGTTCTCTTATTTATTGTTCGTTTTAGTTACGAGATTTAGTCGGCTTTGTCTATATCATTTTTGTATGCATCGCCGCATATGGAATTGTATCGAGATCACTCACAATGTATTCAAACCTTGAATTCAGCGCGAAAAATCTCTCGACTGCCATCTTATATCGGCCTTATTGGTTTCTCTACTCGATTGTGGATGATGAGAAAAGCGATTTCGATGGTGAGCAGTTTTTCATAGTTATCAAAGATCTATAGAATTTTTTGTTATCTAGCAATTATTGTATCGGAATCTAGCACGGCAGATCAAGTTGCTGAGGCAACAACAAATCATATACTACTTGCTTTCCACATGCTTTTTATAAATATTCTTATTCTCAATCTATTAATTGCCGTCTTCAAGTGAGTAAATAGAGGAATACAAAGAGCGAAATTGCCTCATTTATTCATTTAGCTTTACTATCAACGACCTTCAAGCCAAATCAGAATATCTTTGGCGTTACCAACGATATGAATTAATCCGCGAATATTTCGAAAAGCCTCTTTTCGCTTATCCACCTCTGTCGTTACTAGGCTATATATGTCCATTGGTGAAATGGATCTTCCAATTAAAAGGTGTTTTACGAGTTTTTAGTAAGTGTTAATGATAAAAGAACCTTGATAATTACGATCTCTCTTAGTACAAAGATAACCACATTTCGAAAAATTTCTTTTATTCAAAAGTATTTTTGGAAATTGATGCTACGTCCTTTTGTCTAGAACGATACGGTACACAACAGATGAATGCAGAATGGACTGATTTTGAGAATGCAGCGACCTACAATCACACACGTACTTTCGTCGATCGAATGTATTATGATAATTCAAACCTTAGGATTCCTACGTATAAATGAATGACTCTTTGCTTTTTTTCCCGATTGATTTTTTTCCTTGTTCCACGTAGGTTTTCGGAAACAGACGAATTGAAAGCAGAAATCGAAGCTTTAAAACGTAAAAGCAATCAAATGTATACTACCATTGATACCATGAATGCTCAATCAAAGCGAGTATGCTTCGAAACATATTGATATATTTTTTGATAACGATGGTTCTTTCAAAGATGATTCCTGCAACGAATTGGATGATGAAAGCTATGGATCGAGTGAAAATGTCATCACAACGACCGCCACCATTTGTATTTTCATCAAGTTCTGAAGCTTGAAGTTGAATAGAATGCATATTTCATCCATGTTGATTATCGTCTGAAATTAAGTTCTCAATAGATATTCGTTGTGATCGAATTGAAGTTTGTGAAACTTATTATTTATTTTTTTTTGTCTTCTTTTACTCACAAACATGATGATTAATTAGTTGAAATTGAACGCTCTTAATTTTGTTTTGTTGGTATTCGATTTGAAAATATAGAAACAATAAAACATAAAGATTAAAAAAAGAGGAAAACTTAAAAAAATATAACTGTTCATTTACTATGTTTGTTTCTCTACATGTCATCTAATGTCAACATGGAGGCATCACGTACCAGGGCTTCAGATTGAATGGGCTAGAACTAGCGTGGCCCATGACGTCGATATCAACTAAAAGTTGTTTTTGAAATAGATCTCGGGCGAAAACATTACCTATAATCCACATTCTCATTTTATTCTTTTTTAGTCTTTCATTGGTTTAGGCTTCTTAGCCATACTAAACAAGAAAGATAATGAACAACAGTTGCAACCAAATACGCTTAGCTCTTTATAAAGAAATCACAGTGAATTGCTACTTCATTTACAGCAAAGCTTACTTCTTCTCCTCAAACAGCGCCTACAATTACACAATCTTCTGTCATTTTTTCTAGTTTGAATGCAAGTAAAATTCCACAAATATCTTTTTCTACGATTACTTGTCCTTGATTTAATCAAAGTATCATCTTCTGTAGCTGAATACACATCAGAACGAATAAAACTGCTGTTGTAACAATATCTAGCAGTTCATAAAGTTATCAAAAAAGAAGGAACAAGTTTGTCGTTATCATCTTGGGTGCGTATGACTGTGAATGTGGGTATAACGAGGAGATAAATGTAAGGGCACCGACAAATCTTCACCCCCACTCACATCTCCACTCTACAACAACCAAAAATCAAAGTATACTTTTTATCTCACTGATATTAAGATTTCAAAATAGAGTCAAAGGCAAGTCTACGATTGTTTCATTTTACTTTTCGAAAAATAAAAAAACAATCATAATTTTAGAAAAAAAACAAAACTTCCACTATGATGGATTCAATAGTTAATACAACTTTATCAGAAATTATAAACGATCATTTGCAAATCTCAGTCGACATAGTGTATTGATTTTCCACAATATTGTTTATCTCCCTGTAAATAAGAAACTAAGTGATTCTACCATTTTTTTATAGCCATATGCAATATTTCGACTTGGGTGTAGACAGAAACATAGAAAACATACCAAGCTAAGTTTTTCTTTTTTTTTGACGCTGAGCTAAGCAATCGTGCTATAGATGGACAGAATTATTTTCTGTATAAATAGAAACATGACGTTTATTGTTAAGAGATTCTGCTGAATACTAACCATTTTGAAACTTTAAGAAAAAAGATTTTAGTGCAATGACGTCGAAACTGAAAAGTGAGACACGATGAATCTATTGATTTCTCAGGGTGGATGTGTGTATGCTTGTATTTATCTTTTCATCATACCCACAGTCACACTAAGGATTACTAACTCAATAGCTCAAATATTCCGATTTTCGGACCCTAACTCCCAATTTTCGCTCAATGATCCCGCTTGAAAATATCATCATTCAATAGAACCTTAAACTCTGCACTCAACACAACTACCTGCAAAGCCAGCATAGGTGCAGGAGCAAATGTCAGCAAGAATTACTCCGATCCGCTGCCAACTTTTCTTACATTTAGATATGACTATAATGCATAGTAATAATGGTTCATTAGTTAAATGACCATAGTATTGTCGAATAGTATGATGTTTATTTGATTACATGTTGCAAAAATGACTATGTGATCCATATATTAACACTAAATGCTAATAGTCAAGATTTTCAACAACTACAAACTGATAACAATATAAGTTTTACAGTATCCAAGTGTTGTCCAATATGGAAATTGTTTAGTAAAGAATTGTAATTATAGTGATTATGATGAATTATCAATTTTGACATAAGTGGATATTAATAATGATAAAGCAACCATTTGATAATAAGATTATTAATATAGTTATTGTTCAATAACATGAACTTCTAGGTTTATAATTAATTTGAAATATTATTTTTCTTTTCATTGATTCATTTTTTTTTATATCAAGTAAAAAAAATTCACCAACAAACAATGTTGCCAATGACTTTATTAGAAATAAGTGAATGTACAGATATTTCTATTCATCAGCCATTAGTGATTAAATCAGCTGCAATAAATTGTCATAAGTAATAATATAAACTTCTCATTCAAATAACATTAAAATCATTGATATAAATAAAGTGACATATTTTAATAAAAAAAACTGAAATTTATTTACACAATATTGATAAATATCATAAAAAGAAATATGAAATCATTGTTAATAGTGTATGAAAATGATAAAGAATGTGTAAATGATTGATTGAAAGATGATGACTTGATAGTTTTTCATCGTTTCATCATTCGGATACGGGTAGAAGACGACCCACAGTTCGACAAAACTATTAATTTTGTTTTATAAACTGATTTCTCTTATGAGAACAAAAATTTAGAATATAAGCACATACTCACTTGGATAACTATGAATATTTTTCCAAAATTTTAAAAAACTCTTAAAACAATAGATTGAAAAACACAAACAACATTTTTTTTAACCATTGTATCCCAATGATTCCTTTGGTTTTCTTTTAAATAGCCAAAATGATCATAATTTTCACTCGGATTTCTTCAAGATATTACTATTTTTGTCTTTTAAATTAAAAATCCAAATATCTGACAGAGACTAATCGAGCTTAATTTTTCACTAAAAAAAATTTAGGTAAAATTGATTTTGAGAAAAAGCTAGAACGAAATTGAATTTCAATTTTCTACTAAACACTCATCATTTTTAGACATAGAAGATGAAACATAGCAAAGAACTGTTGATTGATATGCAAATGACTGATGAACAAATGTAAAACATGCAGAACTCTTTTCGAATCACTTATATCGATGTTATCTCTAATCAAATCGATCAGATATCTCAAACGATGCTATCCTAGCACATCTAACTCCAACTTGAAATGCGAAGACAAATTACTTTGAAAAAAAAAGGGATCAGAAACGGAGATAATACCTTTAAAATAAACATCAGTATTAAATTCTCAATTCAATAGTATAAGATCCGATTTTAAATCAGATAAACCAAGTTTTGAAAAATATAATGTATTCCGCAATGCATTTAACAATAACAACAGCCGTTAATTCATAGCCTTTTTCTTTCGAACAACAATAAGAGAAATCTTGACATGCCAATAAATACTAAGAACACTAAGTTCTCTATTAGTTAGTATTTAGTTCTGGTTCTAATGTACAAAGACTTTTAAAATGTCAGCATGATGTCTCAAAAAAAAACAAGAAACAAGGTTTCGCAAATGAATTTTTGAATAAATGTATTTCTATTCAAATTTATATTGACACGTGAAGCCTCTCAATTGATTAATCACTTTTGAATCGAGACTATGTCTATCATGTAGATCCTTATCAACAATAAATATTCTAAAAAGAACTGAATCCTTTAATTTCTTATTACAGAGATATTGCATCTTTACTAACTACCGTGATCTACCTCATGAAAACCAAAAACATTGATTTTCGTATTTCAAACGTTCTAAAATAAGACCATTAAATCTAACAGTGTATATGAAAGATGTAAAAGACATGCTTTTACTATATTTGTATCTTCGCATACGAACAACGAAATGATCTCAAATTTTCACAATAAACTATTCTCGTTAAAGTCCTATCTCTATGTAAAATTTCAAATCAAAATTCATATATTATTTTTACTAGTCTTTATATGGCTAAGTAAGACATTGAAAAACAAAAAAATGAATAGTTTGTTAGTTTAATAAATTCTCTGTTAAATAAATATAGGATGCTTTACTATCTAAGCTATTAAATAGTATGATTCTTGCACAATATTTCTTAGTAAGGTTTTCTATTAAAATACTGTTCAATGAATGAGAAATTGAAATGAAATGTCCTTCATACTAAATTACGAAAGAAATTCTCTTTGAAGTTTTATCATTTTTTATTACTAATAAAATGTTTCTATGCGTTAAGTACCACTTGTAAAAGAATACATTATTTATGTCACGATGTGCCAATACTAACATTAACAAAAAAAAAAAGGACAAGGACATTAAAAGTTTATCGTTATGAATAGAAGATTTATCAAATGAATAAAAGAATAAGCTAAGTTTCTTTTTTATAGATCATAATTTTTATCGAAATAGATTTTCACATTATACATATATATATCAAAAGCAAATATTTCACTTCATCAATCAATATTCAATAGAGCAATTCTATGTTCAACTAGTTTCTTTTACTAAACCGATAGAATTATTTGTATTCAAATTGAATTGATTGTTCACGATTGATTTCACTTTTTTATGTTTATCAAATAGAAAAAGAAGAAAAAAAAAAGAAAGCACTCATTCATTGATTATAAATTTAGATAATCAATTGTAATCATTATTTTAAAAATTCATTCATGAATATCATATTAATATTCGTTTTTTATTTTCATTTCTTAGTAAAATAAAAAAAAAGAATCATCAGGTGTCAAATTTATTCTTTCGTCTAATCTTTCTTTCTTTTTTTCTTATTCTTATTAGCAAACATTGTATTGAACAAGTAAATAGAAACCTAACTAATGATCTCAAAACGAAATGGTATGGATTAGTTAGAAAAGGAGAAGTTAAACTTTCTCAACATATATGATTAAGTCACTTGAATAACAGATTAGAGAATAAACATAAGAATTTTTTTTCTTTTTCTTATTGAAAAATTGTTTATATATTTCCGTATTGACATAAGCGACCAGTGTATAAAAAAAAAATAATGAGAGAAGTATCAATGTAATACCCCTAGAGGCTTTCAAAGAAGAAGAAGAAATAATAATAATAATCATAATAATCAATCATCTTCATTCATGATTACTAACAGTCGTCAATTCTCTCTATC